ACAGCGACCTTGAACAAGCCAGTGACGCACCGCCCTCCCGAAACAGATCCTTGCTTCCCGAGCCTGCCCTACCACACCACCACCACCACCACCACCACCACCACCGCCCACGCACTGGACGGTCTGTGCGCGCAGGTCGTGTCTCGGACCCATGAGAGGACCGCAACGGCCGAGTTGATGGGAGGCCCTTGCCTTTCGGTGCTGGGCGTTCTTGGTTCCCTTGTGGTCTGGTCCCGTCTGGTTAGTCAGTGGATGGTGGCTGCTCGCGGGGTGGTATTATTTGGCGGTATTGATGGCTGAACCTGGGAAAGGGAGGAGTGGTTGAGTTCGGGTCAACGTCGAGAAGGGAATGTGGTGAACACCGTGTTCATTGAACCCCTCCATCGTACTCAGGAACTCAAGAGTGAGAACCGTCATGGCAAGCCGGTCAACCATAATTAGACACCCAATGACACCACCTCTCTCGTCTTGAACCCCGCTCGGAGGGACTGCGTATGCCCATCATATCATGTCTGCTCCCGAGATTAGAAACAGGAGGGACACGGTTCCTGCGTCTAGCCGCGCCACCGGTTCGGGGTTGGGCTGGGTGCTGTGCTTATTCCCGATTTTCTGTCGTTGCCGGGCCGAATCGGTGAGTGAGATGGTACCTGTGCCGGTGCTCTAGGAAGGACGGGGATCATTTGCTTGTTCTCAGCACTGGGCTGGGGGGTTGAGCAGTGGCTTGCCCGGGAGGGCAAGTCGAATCCGCGGGGCGACACTGTGTTGTCGTTCTTGCGGCCGTTGTCGTGTTACGGGGTTAAGGGCTTGCTTTTTGGCTTGGGCCGTGTGAATCCACGGCGTAATGTCGCGACTCGGAATAACGACCGTCGCCGTTCGGAGAGACTTGTTCGCTCCCACGAGACAAGTCTCAGCGCCCCCCGTAACCCCGAACTTCATGACGCCCTACAAAAAAGTGTATGTTTCGTCCTCGATAGTCCCCTCGGGGCTGACCCGATACCACCGTCTCGGCCCACAGCTCCGCAGCTCGACCAGCGCGCGGATGACCAGCTGGCGCCAGTCGATCTCCATCCCGATCGCGGCCGCCATCATCTCGCACCGCACGAGCACCTACCAGCAGTACTTGAGGTACTTTTCCAGCTCCTCGCGGTTGGCCCGGTGGAACGGGTCGTGCGGGACGCGCAGCCGACCGCGCGGCTCGTACTCGGCCAACGCCAGGATCTCGAGCACCAGCTCCATCGGCAGGCCCAGGCCGCGGTGGAGGAGCCGCCGCACGGCGGGCACGTCGTCGATGCCGGGTCGCCGATCGGCCGTCTTGTCGTCCCAGGTGAGGAACTTGGCAAAGGGCACCAGGCCGTAGGGGAGGGTCAGGTTGTGCGGGGGGGCGCGGAAGTCGTGGCCGTTCCGGGAGAACTGGCGATCTGCAATGCCGAAGAACTGGCGGTGCGGGTGCGTGGCTACCTCGGAGGTGGTGTAGCCCCCCCACGTGCAGTGATTGAGCATGTACTGGTAGATGCGCGTGTCGCGGTAGTCCGTCTCGTCGGTGCGGTCCGACGTGGCATCCCACGTCTCCGGGGAAGCAGTGGAGGAGGTTGACGGTGAGGTAGGGGAGGAGGGCGGTGCGGCAGAGGATGTCTCAGCCGGCGTCGGATTCCTGGCGAGTGTTAGAGGTCCGCTGAGAAATATGTTCATCCGTCTGTAATGTTCGTCATGGTCCAGACCACCAAGGTCTCCTGAAGCCTTCTTCTGCCTGGAGATCAGTACTCACCTTACAATAACACTGCCCCACCCGCTACCAACTCCTCAATGCCTCCCCATGGGCCTTACACAACCTCAACACGACCTCCATCTCCCCGTACAGCACCAACGTCTTCACAGTCTCCGCCGCAAAGAACCCCTTCCCATTCACCAAAAAAAAAATGATAACAAGGATTCACCTCCCGCGCCCTCCTAAACCCACGCGCCCTCCGAAACTCCATCGGCACTACACACCCACAAATCAACCACTCCCTCCCCTCAGGCTCGCCTTCCCCCTCCTCACACTTACAACCCCCTGAATCCTCACACCCCATCTCCACCACTCTCTCCAACCCCTTTTCCCATTCATACTCCTGCCGACGCCCCCTCCACCTCCTCACCGTCGAACTAATCCTCACCACGATCTTCTCATCAAGGGCCACCTCCCCCGGCTCCGGGGCGGTGATGATTTCCTCAGGAAAAGAGTGGGCGCGCGTGCTGGCCGCGTGCGCGCGCACGGTGCGCGAGAGGGCCTCGACAAAGTAGTTGAGCTTGGAGGCCTGGTCGGGGCGGAAGCGGAGGTGCAGGTCCGGGATGGGGGCGTGTTTGGGGGGGGAGAGAGGTGCAGGGTGGAGGCGAGGGTTGGCCAGGGGAGGGAGGTGGTTAGGTGGGCCATGTTGGAGATGTGTAGCGAGTGGGGGAGGGTAGGGGTTGGAGGTGAAAGGGCGAGGTTGTTGTTGTTAGGGGGGGGGAGGATGGGGGTGGTCAAGTGAAGTTGAAGGATCCCCGCTTTTTGAGGCAGAGCAAGTGAGCGTGTCCGTCGCCGAATGCAGTAGGCCGGTGCTGGTGGGGTCTGATGAGCAGACCTCTGTCTCTATCTCTTGGCGTGATGGATTCAAGTTAGACAAGACAACTACCTTGGTATCCATCTTGAATTCGATGAACTGATTTTGGTAGGGTTGAGCCAGTGGCAAGAGGAGAGGTAGGCATCAACTTCAAGTTTCTGGGTGCCGAGAGTTGTGTTAAGCTGTCGTTGGGTGGCGGGATAGAGTGACAACCTACTTGGAACCATCTCGCTGTGAGCTTGATCACAGTTTGGACGTGAAATAGAGACGCGGGTACTCACCAATAGCCGTTGACCGCCGTGCTCTCGCGGCGGCTTGCATGTCGTTGCTCGCCCCCACTGAGTGAGAGCGTTGAGGCTCCTTTGTCCAGTTGCGGCACAGCATGGCCCCCAAAAGCGTTGACGCGCCAATCGACGCCACGCCGCTGCATAGATTGAACTAGACAGGGAAGAGGCGAGCCGTCGAATCAACGGCATTGTGTTAGATTACGGCGGCGCCTTCAGCTGTTCGACGATCATGCCAAAACAAGACGACCGCGTACGAGATTTTGGTTGAGTCCTCGTGAAATCCTCGTGGCCCTTGACAGGCAGGCTAAATGACGAGAAGCGCCAATGGTAGTTGGATTTTGTCTCTTTTCCCTGGCGAGTGTTTCGTCTCTGCCCGCTCAAGCCGCCATGCCAGTGCCTAAACGCGTCGTCATTGTGAGTTGAAAAAAACACCAGCCAAGAGACTCTCCAACTGACACCCAATCCAGGTCGGGGGCTCCCTCGCGGGGCTCTTCCACGGCCTCTACCTCAAGCGCCACGGCAGCCGCGTCGTGGTCATCGAGCAGGACCCTGGCTCGGTCCGCAGCAGCCACCAGGCGGGCATCGCGTTCGGCCCGGCCGTCGAGGAGATCCTTCGGCAGTACGACGACACGGGCATGCAGAGCTGTACCCCCGCGGTGGGCACGCGCATCGCCTACCGCAGGCGCCAGAACGTCAAGGAGATCAACGTCGTCCGCCACCTCACCAGCTGGGGGCTGCTGTACCGCATCCTACGCGCCAACTTTGACGGCCTGGCGTCCGAGGCGGTGCCCAACCCGCCCCCGCCGAGGGACGGCGACGGGCCAGCCGAGTACCGCTCAGGTCAGCGCGTGACAAGCCTCCGGTTGGACCAGACCGGCGCCGTCACGGTGGGGTTCATCGACCCGGCCGGCGTCGAGGGCTCGGTCACGGCCGACCTCGTCATCGGGGCCGACGGCGTCCACTCCACGGTCCGCGACCTCGTGCACGCGCCCGCCACTGGCGTGGAATATTCGGGTTACGTCGCGTGGCGCGGCACCGTCTGCGAGAGCGCCCTCCCGCCCGAGGTAGCCGCGTACTTTGCCCCGCGGACGTCCCTCAACTTTCTCCGCGACACCTACATCGTCACGTCAGTGCCCCTGCCCCTGCCCCCTTCCTCCCCCTTCCTTACTAACCCACCCCCAGTTACGCCATCCCCCCCTCAACGGGCACCTTCACCCCCGGCACGCGCCTCATCAACTGGGTCTGGTACCTCAACATCCCTCCCTCCTCCCCCTCCCTCATCGCAACACTAACCGACACCACCGGCCACGTCCACGCCAACACGGTCCCGTCCCACTTAACCAACACCACCATCTTCCACCACCACCTCGCGGAGCACCTCCCCTCCATGCCCCCGCCCTTCGCAACCCTCCTCTCCTCGACCCCGCACCCCTTCGTGACAAAGATCAACGATGCGCGAACGGACGCGGCCGTCTTTCTCGACGGGCGCGTGGTGCTGGTGGGCGACTCGCTGGCGGCGTTCAGGCCGCATTTTGCGGTTGCGACAGAGCAGGCTGCGCGGCACTGTTTGGGGTTGGGGAGGGTGTGGGACGGGGAGGGGGGCGCGACGCTGGAGGGGTGGGAGAGGGAGGCGGTCGGGTATGGCGAGAGGATGTGGCTGGCGAGTCGCTTGCTGGGGGCGTTTGGGTTGGGAAGGTGGGGGGAGTTTTGGGGGCTGCTGGGGAGGTGGGTGGTGGGATTTGTGAGGGGGTTGGTGAGGGGGTATTGAAGCGAGAGGTGGTGGATTGGATTTGGTTTGGAGTCGACGATGATGGATCGCAGTGTTGATGGGCGAGTGAGTGGGGAACTGCAAGAGAATCAGCGAGGGATCCATCCGAAATTCGGTGGAATGGAGCTTCCCTCTCGTGGTGTGTGAGGAAGGCACGCAGGGGCGAGCCCGACCAATAGAAACAGCGGAGAGAGCAATGTCTGCCCCATGATCAAACACCCACCCAGTTCTCGTCACAACCTCCCTTCGATTTGGTCGGGAGCCATCAGATCGCGCATGGAATGAGATGAGAATTTCACAGTTTGCCCCATGCGATCGGAAAGTGCTGCACATATACTACATGCAAGGTCTGCACTTATAACAATTGGGTGTATGGTCTAGTGGTATGATTTTCGCTTTGCATCAAATGGTCAATGTGAACGGTCCCCGGTTCGATCCCGGGTGCATCCATCTTTTTCCATCCCATCTTGCCATAGGACGAATTTTTGCCGCAGCATTCGCATTCCATCCATGCTTCTCGGTCAGTAACACTCAATTATGCTTGACCGGCCGAAAACCAATGTCCATTTTTCGAAGTGCCCACTAATTCCTCTGCCTGACCTCCCCACAGGCCTCAGTTAGCCAGGGATTCGACACTCCCTCTCGTTGAACTTGCCGTAAGGTACGAGGGCCGTCCCGGTCTTGGTTGTAATAACCCGCTCGCCTTCCATAAAGAATTCTATGGTTGTGACCTCGGAAATTACAGCATCACCCCCATGATCAAGAACGCGCTCCCCCGTCCAGCAGCCTCTGAACGACCCCAGCCAAGCCCTCGCCGGTCGATCCCCCATGCGTCTTGAGAACCTCCATCCACCCTACCCCTTCTGCCACGAGCACAACTAGGTCAAGGACAAGGAGAACCTGCACCAACTCAGTCGCCACGCCCCCCCAGCGCCATCTCTCACCCAGCCCACGCCGACCATCCCCCTCCGTGGCCAAGCTCGTTCCCATGATGACGAGCGCGGCGAGAAACGCGCGAAGGAGCAAGACACTTTGAGCCAAAGTCAGCACCCCCCCTCTGCAGCAGACCAGAAACGCAACAAACCTCGAAACCACTCCAACACCCCCTCCGGCTGGCGCAAAGAGCGCTGCCCCAAGACAAGACACACACCACACGATCCAATCCCGAGTCGGGAAGCCCACTCCCTGTTTCTCGCCAGCTCCCTTCCCAAGCTTCTTCTTTCCCCCCTTCTTCCAACGACTACCCTGCGCACCAACCCACCAACCCCCCGCAACCCCCCAAACCACCCGCCCAGCCCGCCGCTGCTCCAACACCCCAGCTAAACCCTCCATCCCGAGCATCACGCGACATATCCTGCGCGGGAGGTGCAGCACGCGCACGCCGACCACGTCGAGGGTGTCGAGCAACGCTGCCGAGAAAAGTTGTGGAACACGGGTGGTGTTGGTGAGCGGGAGGAGTGTGCGCGCGAGGATGAGGCTGTCGAGGACGGGCAGGGCGGTGCGGGCGTAACGGGCGAGGGGGAGGAGATACGGCGCGAGTGGGTTGGGGGCGTCGTTTTCGGGTTTGTTGGGGGGATGATCGCGGGGGGGGGGGGGGGTTGGTGGGTTTGGAGGCGCGGGGGGTGGGTTTCCAACGGCTGAAGGGGCGTTGGGGGGGGCGGTTGGAGCGTTTGGTCGAGTTGATGGGGGCCGAGGGCTTGAGCTTGAGGTTGTGCCAGTTCTCGGGGAGAGTGAGGGTTGGGGTGGTGGGTTCAGGTTGTTCAGGAGTTGGGGCGGCGGTGGTGGCTGGTTTGGGCTTTGTCTTGTGTGCTTTTTTCTTTGCCATGGCTGTGGTGTTGGTGTTTTGCGATGTTAGAGGGAGTCAGTCGGCAGGTTGGCTGGGGTCGAGGCCTGGGAGCTTCAGTTCCTTGTTCGCACACTACTCGTTGCATGAAGCAAGGAAGGGACAGAACGACCGCCCAGGGAGGTCCGACCCACACACAACCGGGCAAGTGCTTTGGGGGTAGGGTGTTGTAGGGTGGGATGACCGAGTGGCAGATGGAACGCTACATGATGCATGGCAGAGGCTGGGGACAGGCAGAGCGTATGCACAGGTGAGCTCCATTATACGCCCGATCATCCATACCATGGGTTGGCATGAACAACTGCCCCCTTATCTCTCCCCCAGACGGCCATCACTCCCCTTCCTCCTACACAACGCCATAGGTACCTAGGTACCTACCCACCGCCGCCGCCCATAACCCCCGCCACTGCCCATTATCCCCCCTGCTGTTTAGTACCTCAACAACCACCTCCAGGTCCAACACCCTGAACCTCCGCACGCTAACCACCCTGGGCTGAACCTTTGGCTGCCCGCCCCGCCGGACACGCCGGCGGGCGTGCTTGCCACGAACAGCCCGCCACGCGAGCATTAGCATATCGGCTAGCATCGCCAGCTCGGCCAGGCCGAATTCAAGGCCTGGGAGGTGGTGGTACGGGTCCAAGCCGCCCAGCAGCCGCTGGAACGACATCAGGAGCTGCCACTGACAGCAGCGCGGGATGTGGCGAGCCACGAACGAGCCCCGGCCCATGATCTTATTGGTGATTATCACGATGACCGCAGCCCTGGAACGCAAAACGTCAGCATGAGTCTCTCTTTTTCCACAAGCGAACAAGAGGGGGAGACTCACATGCTACCCGTGCACAACCGACTCCCCAAAAGCAGTTCCTCCCCCGTCCCAAACACTGCCGACCACGCAACGATTCCAGCCAGCCCTATCCCAGGACTCATCACTACCGTCCCCAACGACCCCTTCTCCCTGGGCAACACACTCCCACTTCCCCGCCACACCCACATCACCCCGACAACTCCCACGCCGCACCCAAACGCAACCAACTCCAACGCCACCCCCAGCGCCATCATCTCGTGCACACCGCCCCACACGGGCTCGCACAGCCCATCCACCAGCGCCTGCCACACCCCGGGGAGGCGGTCGGTCGCGCTGCGGAGGGAGCCGCCGACAAAGGGGAGGTGGTGCAGCAGCGTGCTGAGCCACAGCCAGGCGAGGCGGGTGTAATACCCCGGCGCAAACGTGCGCGCGAGCAGCACCAGGTCGGTCAGGTAGAGCGCTGCGTAGAGGACGAAGGGGAGGAGGGGGAGGAGGCGGAGGAAGAGGGGGGGATGGGTGGCATGGCTGGGAACAGGTGTTAGTGCGTGTGTTGATGGTGGTGCTGCTGTTGAAAACAAAGGGGAGGCGTACCTGGTGACATGGCGCCTGCGGGTCTTGGGACCGCGCTTGAGGGTGGTGGAGGGGGCAGCGGCAGATTTGGCGTGCGGCGGGGGGGTAGTCTGGGGCGAGGGGAACGGGGGTGTGCCCGCCGGCTTGGAGACGGCGCGGGGAGGGGCGGCGGCTGCCGGCCTGGCTGCTGCTGCCGCCGGCTGGCTGCGGACAGGCTTCACGGCGGCAACCCGCGCGGATCCGGCCTTGGTCTTTCTTGCGGCATGTCGCGCGAGCGCACAACGGATCTGGGCACAATGGGCTTCCGCGCGGGCGGCGACACGGTCGATGTATGCCCTTTCTTGAGACGGGCTCCTGTGCGGTGCTTCAGGGCGGACGAGGGCAGCCGCCGTCTCGAGATTGCAGCTCATGGCCTTTGCTGCTTCAAATTGAGGCTGGTTCGGGTCCTGCGGTTCCGCGTGTTGTGCGGCGGCAAGGCGTTCCATGGCACGGTCCACGGCGATTTCGATGGGGCACCTCATGGTGTCGGCTTTCCTTTCCTTCTTGTTGGGTGTTGGGTGCTGGGTTGATGTCGGCTATCCGCAAGCTTGGGCTTTTTCAGGTGTTCCAAGGTTCGAGACTCGGTTGGTAACTCGGAACACTTAGAGTGGCGGGGACCTGGGACACTGGCAACGTTATATTCCGTCCCTTATACACCAAAATGTCTGATCTTCTATGGGGGCCTGAGGCTTCTGATCGGTGTTGGGGCAGAGCTCCCGGTGTTGAAACGGAGCCATCGGCGTTGAAGTCGAGGCACCAGTCCTGAAACGGAGGCATCGGTGTTGAAGCAGAGCTGTGACGCCGGGCTGGAAATAGGCTTACAGCATACCGAGGCCACATGATGGAGTGGCAAAGTGCGTTCAGCTGGAGACTTGATCTTTACGCGGGCAGACGTAAGGAATTAAACACCGGATTGTGCTCATGATTTCGGGACCCCGTAGCTGTCAGGCATCAGTCAGGCTAGTGTCCTGAGAGATAACCTCGGGTGTACTGTCGGATGACGCAGGATGTAGACAGGAGGTTAATACCTGTCAAACCTTGATGATCAAGCTATTCCATGTAGATTGATGTATGGGGAGGGTTGAGGCTGTAGACTATAATAGTTACCGGGTGTTGTGCTATTTTGACTCTTTAGCTTCAATTATGGGGGTGTTGGCTCCTGGGACTACCTGGTTTAAAAGCGAGGTATTTTGAGCCTTGGTGAGGTTCAAGCTGGGTGCCCATGGAAGGCTCTGAGTGGTCTACAACTTCAACACCAGCAACTGGAACCGAGCCGCTGCAAAGTTCTTGTGCGTGTGTTAGTTCGAATCCGCGGACCCGTCCGCCGCGCTGTGCCTCTCTTGGCTATTGCCGTGTCTGACAGGTGACAATGAAATGACTCATTACTCTCTCAATGATCTATCAATCTACAACAGCCCGGAATCAGTCAGACCGAGACCACCCCGGTCCTCCCGGCTCACACATGAAATGGATGATCCTCCACCTACCGCCCGTTGTCGCCCAAGATATCTTACAACACCTGCTGTTCAAGACATCGCCAGTGCCAGTGCTTGTGTGGCCCATCGCCGACAGGAACACCGCCTCAAACCTTCCTCATGACGAGCATCCGTCCAAGCCCCTGCCCAAGCATCCCCAACAGTACATCCCGAGCCTGCCCGCTGGAGGCGCTCAACGTAGACTGCCTCATCGCCATCCTCTCCTCAACCAACACCCTCGCCGACCTCAGCGCCTTCATCCGTGCCTCGCCCGCTGCCCTGGCTTCTTTCTTCGCAACTAAAGCCTCGATCCTCCTGTCCGTTCTCACCAACGAGCTCGGCCCCGCCGTCCGTGACGCCCTCGTCCTCTCCTGCACCGAGGACCTCGACAGCCTCGCCGCAGGCTCCATCGAGCAAACTTTTGAGATTGCCATCGCTTGCTTCCGCGAGTGTCTCCTACGCGACTCTTCCCCCTGGGTTTCCACTCAAGATGTCCACACCGCCAGCGCCATGGCGCGCCTCGCCCGCACGGCCCTCTCCTTCGCCGACCTTTACATCCGTCAACAGCGCCACATCTTCACGCACTTCCTTACCCCTCCCGGAGGCACCTGGAGCGCCAGCCTAACCGAGCGGCGCCGCATCGCGCAGGCGTTCCTCCGCTTCCGTGTGATCACCGGCCTCTACAACCCCGCCTTCCACGACGCAGGCATGGACGGCT